CCCTTAAATCATCAACAAAAGGTCATTAGAAGACATAATTGCATGCTTAGTAGAACACCCAAGAGTGAATCATGCTGAAAAGTTGCCCTTGAGTATTGGAAGGCCACTTGTTGTTCCAAAGCCTTCGTCTCTTGCTTACTCGGCGGGTACCTCAACAACTCATTTGAGAAATGTAGATTATGGGCTCTCTTATAGTGGGTAATTTCTTTTCTAAGAATGCAATTCTCAAATATTTGTATAGGTCTATTTTTTGCTTAACTATCCCAGGTTGAGGCTCTTGAGAGCTCATCTAGGGGTGTCAAAATGGTTTGACGGGCCGGGTTTAGGTCCAACCCAATATTTACCCGACCCAAATCTAGTCAACACAAACCTGAACCGTTTAATAAATAAGTTAAAAACTCTAATTCAAACCCGACTCGCTAACAATCCAAATAACTTGAACCCGACCCGTTTTTGTTAAGAAGCTTTTTTTTATAACTTATTAAATATAAAATTTAGGATATTTAATAAAAAATAAGAAAATTATATCCACAAGTAAACAAATTTAAGGGAAAAAAAGATATTAAATGAATTTTTTTGTTCAATAATAGATTGGCGGAAAAACCGGAACCTGTCACGTTAAACGGGTCAGAAAACCTAACCCAAACTAGATTCATTTATAAAACGGGTCAATCCAAATCATGATTTTTTGGGTTGGTTTTAGGTCAGGTCATTTATTGACATCCCTAAGTTCGTCCCTACCTTTATAGAGGCGATCTCTTACACACTTCATCGATCAGAGCTAAGAAGCTACTTGCCTTTTCAGCTACAAATCTAAAGGTACATCCTCATCAGGTAGGTATTCAATGTCACCAATAGTGGCAGCTTGGTCGTGGGAGTTGTCATAGCCAGTACAGAAGTTTCCCTAGATGTCGCTCCACATTCGACCCATCATTTCTTTGTTGGGGGGGCGATGAGAGTTCCTTAGTCACCTTTGTTGGTCGTACACTGCTGTGAACTTCTTTGACTGGCGTAACCTGGTTGGTGCAAACTCAACTTTCCCTTGACAAAAGGTGACTTTCTTTGAGGAAATAAAATTGGAGCGAGCGATGTCGGCAGTATTGATTTTCTTAGAATTTGTAAGACTTAACAAGCTCTTAGGTCACGCAAATAAAAGGGTAAAAGCTTTCTCAACACAAACCCCCAATTTATAAGGAATCATTCAAGGATGGCATCATGACATCAGCATCAATGCGAGTCAGTGTAGTCATCGAGGCTACATTAAAAATTAGGTAGTAAATTCTGCATTTACTTTCCAATTTCATGTTTGGTAGTTGCATTTAATAGTTCATTTACTCACATTTTTTTCTTTCATTTTTTAAAGGGCCAAGCCAATCGAGGAACTAAATATATACTTTCATTTGTTTTCATTGACATTTAATATGTAGTTGGCAGGTTATGGAGAGGAACTCACCCTCAAAGAGGCCCACAGACAAAACTTGCCTAACAAGTAGGCACTACTCACTCAAAACTAACAAGGGACTTACAAAAATTAATCATTAGGCGCTACTCACTCGGGCCTACCAATGAGGTTTCTCTCTATCGGGAAAATCAGTGTCTTCTCACTAGGGTAGCAACTCGGCACATACCTGGACAACCACGTTAGTCAGTTGCTCCTCAGAGTGAACTCAAACACTTGCTCTTTCCCAGAGCGACATCTTTTCCAGAATTAGCTATTGTAAAGCGCCTACTAATGCGACCCTCGGCCTACCTCATCACAGGGAGCCCAAGTTCTCTTATATGAGTCACTAGCAAAGTAGCAAGCAGCCAAGCATGCTAGCTACTGGTCCCCTTTCATATTTACTTGCCCACAGAAGTCTCCCCCCTAAAAACTTGACACCATTGGACTTGCTCGTACATGCTCGACACTGTTGACTTATGCCATACACACTTGACACTGCTGAGCTCATTCAAAGACAAATCATCAGCATGTGCTTGTTCATGTTTGTGTTCGTTTATTATCAACTTGTTCATGTTCGTTCGAGCTTTGATTTGAACTTTCTTGTTCATGTTCACGGTTGGTCCATTCAAGTTGATGGATATTCATATTTGGTTTATGATTGGCTCATATTCAATTCATTTCGTGCTTATCGAGCTTTAAACAAATGAGTCTTATCAAGCTTTGTCGAGCTTACTAACAAACATGTTTGTGAACATTTCTAACGATGATTTCGAACTACCAAACGAGCTTGTTCATGAACATATATAGTGAGTGTTTGTTAGCTATCAAACAAATTGTTCGTGAATATATCTAGCAATAATTTTTGAACTATCAAACAAGTCTGTTCATGAACATATTTAGCAAGTGTTTTCGAACTAGTAAATAAGCTCGTTCACAAACAAACAAGTTATAATTGTTCTTATAAGAAAGCTTTTTCATGAACATTTTGAGTAAACAAAATTGACGATAATAAACACATTTTGAACAAACTGAATTGACGAAAATAAACACATTTTTAGCAAATTGAATTAATGATAATAACAACATTTTGAACAAACAAAATTGATGATAATATAGTTAAGCAAAAATATTATACGAAATAAATTTAAAAATCCATAACCCCTCAAAACGTAATTCCACAAATATAATTAAGTAGAATCAAACACAACATATTTTTTATCAATTCAGTTACACTGGGAAAAGAAAATGGCACAAAATCCGTAAGCAAGATTTAACCGTGGATAAAAACAATTCAATTCTTTAACAGAAAATGTTTGACATCTAATATTAGGCTTGATTTATCCAAGAGTTAGCATAAATCTAACTAAATATAAATCTTTTTTGTTTTGAAAAAAATTAAAGTCTAAAACAAATAGGCAAATGATTAATGAAGACTTAGCGAGATTTTTCAGTTGTCATGCCCAACAATTTTCAACATTTAATCCACTGAGAGATTCACTAAATCTCAATTTATAAAATTTACTAAATCCTATTTTATAGCTAGCAAAAATGCTGCATTCTTTATCTATATAAAATTGCTGCATTCTTTGACCCACTTATTAAAAAAATGAAAAGGCCAATAGACATAAAAATATATAATTAAAGAAAAGAACTGTAACTTCCAATGAGCCTTATATGTTATTCGACCTAAAAGGCAACAACAACAACAACAACAACAACAACAACAACAACAAGCCTTTATCCCACTATGTGGGGTCGGCTACATGAATCCTTTTTCTCCATTGTGTCCTATTAAAAGTCAAATTCTCGTTTAAATCTAATAAAGAAAGGTCATTCATAATATTTTCTAACCAAGTCTTTTTAGGTCTACCCCTACCTTTCTTAACATAAGTCAAATCTAATACCTCTACTCTCCTAACCGGGTCATCGCAAGGCCGCCGTTTTATGTGACCAATTGAAGACAACACAATTAAAATTAGGTGATTTGACCACATGCAAAAAACATAGAAGATGCAGCAATTAGAATAGTAGATAAATATAATCTCGAAGAATTGGATTGGTCAAGTAGAAGGGATTAGACCAAAGGTAATATTGATGCACATAGAGAACAATAGGATTAACATCTCTTACAACATTCAACTATAATAAATTAAAAAGTGAGGATTATAAAAACAGATTATAGGTTGGATAAGATATTGACGATGGTGAAATATGAAGGATAACATGATGGATTGCATGTTTTCTATAAACGAGAAATGAGTGAATAATTTTATCTTGCTAGAATGTACATAAAAGCACTATTTATGTATTTCTAAATGATACTCGGGTTCATTCAGTTGATATAAGAACATAACGTAAACTTCAAAATCTTGAAAAGTAAACTGCAAGATCAAGAGATGATGATAGCTAAAAAGGGTTGATTGTGAACAACAAAATGCAGCTTTAACTAAAAAGTAAGTAATAATTATTATATATTTAAATTATAATAAATATAAAATATTTATATTAGATTTATTAAACTTTGTATCAAATAAGAATCGAGCTTTTTAATGAGTTTCATATCAAGCATGTTCACGAGCTTCAAACGATGTTGTTCATGAGCATAAAACAAATGTTCAAGCTTGATTATTAATGTATTGGTATTTAAAAAAATATTCAAGTTTGTTTGATTACTTAATTAAACGACCACGATTGGTTTTATTGAGCCGTACCTCGTGTAACTTGTAGAATGCTCAGTTGGTTTATCGCCCTACTTGGGAATAGGAGATGAATACAAATATATTCCTGAATAATTTAGCCTGTATGGTACATTTTGCTTCACTCTTAGAACCAGGCGGAATATGTTTGCATATGGCAAGAAGTTGGTTGGACGGCTCGTGTATATAACGAAACAAAGCATCATAATTGACCAAGCAAATCACAGCCAGAAAAGGGGAGATGTCTCCTCGGAGTACTGAGCTTTCCTTCCATGGAAGATTCTCAGCCTCTATTATTCCAAGTCTTTGTAGTTATAAACTCACATTTCATAGAGAATTGAAATGGATAAGAAAATTTTTGCGGTAAAAAGTAGTTTTACAATGCCCATAGTTCTGCAAAGGAAGAAAGAATAATCAAAATACAATAAAAAACAGCCCACAGCCATATTCACCTTTTGATCCACATGATTGACTTACCTTGGACAACTTATCTTTAGTTAATTTGGGTTTCAAACTGTTCCAACTTTTGGAGTGTTCTTTTTCTTAATGCTTTTTACAGGATGAATAAAACAAACTTTGTTACTGCAATTGAGGTGCCTGAGTTTAAGCTGTGAGTTGTGTTGAATTGGATAACAATAAGATACTTTCATTGCATGTGTTTATGTAGCCATTTAATTTGGCTGTTTTGGTTGGTTGCATTTATTTTTCAGAACAGGAATTCTATTTTTGACCATTATCTCAATATTGAAGTTAAATTGAAATATATCTTGAAAGTAGGAAGGACTTTTGAGTATATGAATTTGAATATATGTAGCATTTGAGTATGCCGTTCGTTTAATACATTTGCATTTACTGTTTTGTAGGCCGATTCATGAAGTTAAGATACTGAGAACCATGGTTAAAGATTGAAGAAAAATCATAGGAGATAAAAATGCTCGGTGCATTGATGACGCCGGTTTCCACATATTTTTAATTTGAGAAACAGAAACCTGTCTTCTGATTGCATACTCAAGGTTTGTGATACTGGACAAGCGTAATGATGACTACCTTTTCTGATACTACTACAGTGTTGCTCATGCTTGTCACGTTAAGTAGTAACAGGGGCTATTTTGAATTATTTTTTAATTAATATTTTACTATGAAATAAATATATTTTGAGATTTTTATATAATTATTTAAAAAAATAAAAAAAAAACGTGGATTTCTCCTTCGTTGCTTTTGCTGGGCAATGTCATCAAATTAAGTTGTCACAACGACCTTCGTGTTTTGAACAGGGCCTCATCTGTCCTTGGCGCTTCATCTGAACTACTTAAAAAAAATAGAGGAATAGTGTTCCCGTTCTAAAACATTATCAGCATCAACAAATGGAACGGAGGAATTATCGAGCTTAAAGAGGTTTGAAAAAAAAAAAAGATTGAATTCTAGCATGAGCACTCCGAAAGCATTGACACGGGTTGTAGTTGGAGGTAAAGGAGGTAGCGGTGGTGATTGGTGGAAGTGGAGAGCCGATAGGAGCACGTGGAAATTGAGGTGCTAGACTAGGGGTAGATTGACTTTGGAGATGCCATTGTTAGATGTTATGAGATGCCATTGTTAAAAATAAATCAAATTTGTGTTTAGTGTTTTTATTTATTTAAATGAAACTTTAAAACTATAATTAAAGGAGGAAAGAAATTTTTTTTTATAATAAAAACAGAAATTTCAGGTCCAGTTTTTAGTATTAACTACATATGCCCTTAATATCTCAAATAATTACTCTGTCCTTGGTGGAGGAAATGCAACTTTAAAATTTCTACATCAATTATAGATACCTTGCTCTCTGTATTCATTCCCTCAACATCTCATTCACCTTATCACTTAGGTAGCCTGAGGACTTCTGCATAAGTCAACAATAATGGCTATCACTTGCTAGGGTTCACTCGTAGACTCACGAAGAGCCTACTTGCTGCCACCAGCTCATACTCAGAAAGCTTGCTTGTTGAATTCACATCCTCTTCTGGCCTATTCGGAGGTGTTATGTGTTATTTGAATGTATAGCACTGTGCAAAAATCTTGTCTAATTTTTATTTAATGATATACCTTTTTATTATATAGCCTTTCAAGTAGCCCTTAGAATCTTATAAATAAGGCGTGATGAGGAACTTTTAGGAGGGTTTAGATCTTGAACCTAGGGACTCTGACCTTGAATCTTGGTTCTTCTCTAATAGTGAATATTCTATAAGTTCGAAATCTGTCGTCTCTTATTTTGCTCTCATTACTCTCTCTACACTCGATTTTTGTTCATAAGTCCCTGCTCACGAGGTTGACCTACTATTAGCGTCGTGCATCATCCATGCATAAATTCATATTCAACATTTTTTTTCAAGTGCAATGAGCATGGAGTTACGCCAATGATAAGAAGACAGGTCTAGACCCAAGCAAATAAGTGATTTCCATAAAAGCTTTCAGCTAACATGGAGAACATCGAGTTCACTACCTATTGAGATCGCTAAGAGTTGGAGGAACATATCATGAAGATTATTTAAGATGCCTCTAGTGGCCTCCAAGGGTGTGTGGGAGTCGATAAGATCCCAAAGGAATCCGTAGACTCGGTAGATCGTCGGAAAGACAAGGCAAAAATGAACCTTGACACAACCAAGACTAAACTCTTGCTTGAATGAGTGATGACGATTATAACCCGTTGACATGAAAAACTATAAGAGAAGAACATAAACTTTTCAATGCCTTTTTTAGGGTAATTGCTAAGGTGTAGCTATCTCCCAAGCTCAAAGTGCCTAATGTACAGTTTTATAGAGGTAAGACTGATCCTATTGATCATGTGGTTACTTTTGACTTTGACTTCTATGCTAAATATGAATGCAGCCCTTAAATGTTCTTTTCTTCATCACATTTCAAGATTTTGTTCTTTGGTGGTTTCCTCGTTTGCCTTTGAGGGGTGGTCACATCTTTTGCTGAGTTGAATATTTGTAACACAATTTGTGAGCACCCAGAAGTTCCAGAAGAGCTTGTAGGCTCTATTGAAGATGATACATGATCCAGGGGAATCACTATAGAACTTCATATTGAGGTCTAGATGGAGATACTTGAAGTGAAGAATTTAGTCCGCTTGAGTTGAATGAGAATGGGGTTGAGTTTTTTGGTGGAGAAAAATATACATTTGAAAAATTAAAAATATATAAAATTTGTTTTTAGTGTTAATTTTTTAAATGAAACTTTAAAACTATAATAAAACGAGGAAATACACATTTATTTTTTAAAATAAAAACAAAGAAATTTCATGTCAAATTTTTTACTATGAACTACATATATCCTTAAAATTTCAAATCATTGTTCTGTCCTTCATTAGGGCGATGGAATTACACAAAGAATTGTAAAAATGATTTAGGTTTTTATCAAACTTTAACAAATGCTTTGATTTTCTTTGATATAAAAATATAAAAATCTTATTTAATATACAAAAATATACGTGCCAAATCAAGTAATATAGTGATGACTCTATCCGTTCTATTTTAGCTTGAAGATTAGACGCTAAAAATGAAAGTGTGCGCAACGCATACCGAAAAAGCCATGTTGCTGACCATTAATGACTAGTTCGAACACCAGGAGCAGGGTTGAAACAAAGAAAGATTTTTGACTTTCTCCAATATTCAAGTTTTAAGTAAATCTTTGGTGGTTAAAATTCTTGGGAAAAATTTTTCTTTCTCAAAATGTGCTATTGAGTTAAGAAAACAATGGAAGAAATTTGGAGGATTCCATCTAACCATTCTTGGCTTAGATTGACTTCTTTGTTCATTTCAAACTCATGAAGGCATGGAAGCAGTTCTTAATGGAGGTCCATGGTTTGTAGGGGGTTTTGCAGTTGGGCTAGGCAAATGGTCTCCTAACTTCTCTCCTAATTCATTAGTAGGTGTTTCGGCTCCAATCTGGGTTTGTCTTCCTCATCTTCCAATACACTGTTGGGATGAGCCCAATATCACTAGATCTGTGTCTAGAATTGGGACTCCATTACTTTTAGATGGTAATATGTTTAGGTGGGGAAGGACAGAATTTGCTAGAGCATGTATTCGAGTTAATTTGAACTCAAAACTCCCCACTGGAATATGGGTTGAAGGGTTGTATGGAAGATTTTTTCAAAAGTTCAAATACAAAAATCTTTCATCACTTTGTTTCAAATGCAGGAGGATAAGGCATATTGAATCAGTTTGTCCCAATGTTGAAGATATCATCTCAAATCATACTGAAAATCCTTATGGTCATTGGATGCATGTTAAGTTCAAAAACAAGAAGAAATCAACTACAGGAATGGCTAAAATTTTGGCTCAGGCTAAAGTACAAACAATGGTAGATGGAAATAAGCTAAATTCTATGTCCGATCCAATGGTAGCTGCAAGTTCCAAAAGCCAGCTTGAAGAAACGGCTGGATTCAAGGAAGGAGATGAAGAGGAGGTTAACCTGGATTTGAATTTCAATTTGGAACAACAAGCTTCTCGAAATTTAGTTGATGTTTCTAATTCATTTAATGCATTAGCATGTGGATAAGGAGATGGCTGATGTGTTAAATGAAACCAATAAAATAGAAAATGTAGTTTTTGAAAATCGTGCCTTTCAATTTTTCAGATTTTGAAAGTTCAAAAAATCTGTATCAACCAGGAATTTTGGTGTCCTCAAATGCTGTTCAAAATACAAATGATACTTTGATTGATCCAAAGGTGGTTGAGACTATAGCTCCGGCTTTCTCTCCAATGCTCTCAGCAATCAAATCCATAATTCCACAATCTTTGGAGGAGGAAAAGGAGGCTGGAACGGTTTTGAATTCTCAAGGAGCTAAAATTTCTCCCTTAATAGCTTTGACGGCTGCTACTCATTTGAGTAATGCTGAAGTATTGGAGACTCACATAACAGAATCATCCACTAATTTGGCGGCTGAGGCTAATGCAAATGGTAATACTACTATCCATGATAATTCTTCTCATCCACCAGCTATTAGTTTGAATTTCAAAAAAACTATTCTTAAAAAAGAAAAAAAACTTTTTTAAGAAAAATGTTTCATCCGGTTCAAAGCATGTCTTATTCAAAGAACTTCAAGCATTGGCACCATTGAAAGAACTACATAGAAGAAAGGTGGCTGAACACAAAGAGAAGAATGGTTTGAAAGGTTATTCTTCCCTTCTATCTCACTAATATGAAGAAGGATAAACCTGTGGATAGCAACAAAACAGAGACTTTTTGGAAGATAGAGCAATTGATCATAAAGTTTGGCACAGTTTTACCAAACTTTTGGAATTTATTATTGAAATGTAATTTTATTTTTAGCTTCCATTTCCATTTCCTCACTTTAATTTGTTATTTTAAACTTTGCCTAAGTGTAATGAGATCTTTCCTAATTCTTATTCTCTAACTGGAAGGGAACTCTGGGATACTAATCAACCCTCGGGTTGTCTTAATCTTTGGTATCCCCTGCATCTCAACAGTTTCAAAATAAGAGATAGTGGATTTCATTACATTTATAAGAAGTTTAAATTAACAAATTTAGTTTTAATAAGTTCCTTTTTTCTTGTTAAAAAAAAGAATCATTAGCTTCTTTTTCCTAGTTTGTAATAGGTTTTCTTCGTTTTCATTTTAATGTAATTTATGCATTCTCTCAAAAAAAAAAAAAAAAATAATGTTACTTTATATTGGATATCACATATCTATGGGTATGATGCATTTAATCAATGACTAGCCTTAAACAAAAGTTTTCTTTCATTAACGAAAGGAGTAATTAGCTATAGGGGTTGGGGTCTATAGGAAACCCTAACTCAATTCATAAAGTTCTTGCAAAAAGAGGGTGAAATCTTTGGGTAGTATCTTATTTCAAACCCAATCTTCCTTCTAAAAATTCACATAGGAACCTACTTTGCTAAAACTCCCCTGAAATTGATTGGATGCCATAGTTACAGCAGTTTAGGCCACATGGCACATCAGGCTGAATTATATGAATGTGGAATCACTTTTTAGAAATGGTTCACCATTGCGGTATTACCACGTGTTAGCGTAGGAGCAATCATGTCAAATGACCACTACGATGCTATCAATATACTATAGTAATGAAAAAGATGTGGCACTATTGTATTAGTTCCATCATTGTGGTGCTTATTTTAAACCAATAATGTGACTAAACATTTGT